ACGGCGAAATACATATAGAGGAATTAATATCAAATAGGCGCATTAGTAACTTACTCTTACATAACCGCTGGGTTATAAAGTAGTAGGGAATAGTTTTAACGGAGGTATTTTACCGCACAACATGCACGGCAGGAGAGCCTCTGAGCCCCGCGGCCGCATCACGGTGCCCGGGCCAACGCTTAGAGCGGCATAGGGGAACAGTTTGCAGAGTTGATTCTTAATACGTACTCTTAACTTAACCACTTTTAACAGAATTGCGTCGGTAAGCACTTGATGCAAACTTTGCCCAACAACTTTGCGTGAAGAAATAGACTACATGAGCACGACAGGGCTGAGTCTAACTTTAACAGCAGTAATGGCGCTGGCATGCATTAAAATGTCGATGTTTCGTTCAAAACAGTGAATACAAGAAAAGTAAATAACACTTTCTAGTTAAAAAGCAGTAATTAATAACTCAGGTGGCATGCTTACTTGTTTTACGATGGTTTGAGGAGGATCCAACGCAAACACGTGTCCAACTGCTGAAGAACCGCTGCAAAGAGGAACAGGAAGTCTCACACCGCGGTATTCTCGTTTGAGGGCGTGGCATGACCGTGGCGTTGACAAAAGCATTTTTATTACGTTTTCCAAAACGTATTTTTAAAGAAAGTTCAGAAAATGTGATATTAATTTACAAATTAATGAGTTCTTAAAACATGTTCTCATTGTTGCTTACGTGTTACTTATTTAAACGCACATTGAAAAAAAACTAATTTAGGGCAAGTAAATTACATAAAAAAATGGAGTTTTGTTGACTTCACCATCGGAACTGTTTTTACAGTGTGACGTCAAATGAGTGAACATAATGAGCACCTAGGAAATAGGAAAGTGCCAATTAAAAGGCTGGAGGTGGCCTAATAGTTGTAATCAAAGCCCCTATAAACAAGTGAATCTATGCAGCATACAAAGGAAAGTACATTGGAACATTTGTGGTAGGACAAGAGAAGCAAGAAGTAATAGTTGGTCTGGACGAAGCTTTGATGCAAGTGTTCCATTATTTCCTGTTTTTCCTTTTATGCCATTTGTTAATGTGTCTGTTCAAATTAAACAACCTAATGCTGTGCCTCATTATATTGAGATAGAAACAGGATTTAGCTAATCTCAGTTATTGAATAACATTGTTTCTCAAGCCTTTATAAATCCATCTTTATCTCTTTTATATTGAGGCTTTCATCCATGGTGAATTTCTAATCTTCATCTGTGTCCGATTTTCATTGAAGCAGGGTAGATTACTTTTTTTTTAAATGTTTTTTTGGACCCTTACACAAAATATGTCCATTACATGGTAAATTCTCCAATATAATTATTTTTTGATTATTTAAGCAAACCAGAATTGCGAATGTCAATGGCTGTAATGTAAATGCAATATGGGTAAAGGGAGAAATAAATGGTGGCCTGGTTAGACTATAAAGCTCCAATTCGTTCCAATTTGTATTACTTTTTAAGGGCGTTTGATTTCCATAAAATAAAATCCATAAATACGTTGACAGTAAGTTTGCTATTGTTGAACATTGCCAATGTGACACAAAAGGTGAAGTTACACTGCTTCTTTGCCATTCTCTTCACTGGCAGGTATGACTGGTCTAATGAGTGGTTGAATAGGCAGATGTATCAATATGCAAATGTAGATTAAGGGCATGTCCCTGGTCATTTATGGTAAACTGTCAGTCTTGTGTATGTGCGCTCAATTTCACAATGAATGAGATAAGACGTCTCGGAACCACATGGAAAAGTTTCGGTCATGTGCTGCATCAGGGCACAGTGCCATTTCTATATGTTGTCTTGTTTATCTTGGTTAAATCCAATGCAGATGACACCAGGCTGCTACAAAATCAGACCACACACTTGTACAGAGATGATTCAGGTCTGATATCACCAAGTACCACCGGAACTCTTCAATTCTGTGCGTCTTCTTCTGGACTTTCAAATCATTCAAGTATCGTGGGGTATTCTTGAAAGGCATTATGAAGCAAATCCTGCTTCAAGCGATTGGATTTGTTAGAAGTCCATGCTTAGGTCAGGTCCTATGTCATAACCAATAGGCTATTTTGACCCAAACCATTCAAGATTAATCATAACATAAAATAGCTATGTAGGTGTGTTTTGTAATCCCTTTTTTCCTCAGTTACATTCACTTTTTTGTCCACTGCATAAGGAATTTAGTGTACATATGGCACTGGCAGCACTCCTTTTTGTACCTTGCCTATCTTAGACACGTGCACACACTGGGCCCAATCCAATTTAAGAAGTCAGGGCAAACACAAATATTCTCCTGCCTCTTACCGTCATGCCTTCTGCTGCTTTTCTTTCTTCTTTCCTCTCTTACCTCCCCTCTAACCTCTTTCCTCCCCAGCTGGTACAGTTTGCTGGTTAAATATTTGGGAGCTGGGGAGTGGGTACTTGGTGCTGGGAGGCCTAAGCTAGGAGGATCAGCAAAGGAAAGGCTCCAGTTGTTGTGGATTAGCTGCTTGTTTTATCATAATACCACTGCCTGCGTGCTTGGGGTTTTGTCCTCACCAGGCAAGCTGGACAGTCAGAATTCACCAATTCTTTAAAAATGTATGAGTAAGGCAACTTGCTACTGCTGAGCTTCAGTTTTGCCAGAAGAAGCTGGATTTGCATAGCTTTCCTGAGGATGAAAATACAGCTCCACAACTTTTTCTTCGCACTGTAGCTTTGCTTCTTTGGCCCCGGGGTCTCCCGTGTGGTTCATCTTACAGTAAAGGTAATATTCAGGTGAAATCACAGGTGGAATTCAGAGTTGCAGCTTTGAACCCCTAAGTCTAGAAGTTCAAAGCCCGAAGCTACAAAGTGGAAAATTGAAAGACAATGGAGAATGCAAGCTGCTATACGGAATAGGGGAAGAGAAAGCTGGGAGAAGTGCAGTACAGGAAATACATATATAAGGGACATTCTCAAGAGTAAACCATGGCTATGAGTTTAGGAAAGAAGGGATATTGGATTTGAAAGGAGAGACAAAAAGGGTATGATAAAATACAAAATATGTATTGGATAGTATGTTGTGATTGCAGAATAACTACATTAAGATGTGCTGTGTACTATTATGAATACAATTAAAGCTCCTAGGAAGTTAAAATAATAGTTTGACTTTCTTTGAAATTGTGCTTTCCCGCTTCCTTGCCCTTAATAAGATTGCAAGATAAAATCCCCTCCATATATGTTATATAAAGATACTGCTACTAGCCAGTTACTAACTTAGCTTTGCGTCAACACTAGAAGCAGGGGGGGAAAGCTAGCTGCGCTGTGCTTACCTGCACATCTGGGGCCTCATTTGTAAAGGGATATACGCTCAAAAAATGGCGTACGCCAGTTTCTACGCAATGTTTGCGATTTATAAAATACTAACTTGACGGGAAAATGTGCGGTCCTCCACGCAAACTCTAACCCATGCGTACGCACTAAGCACAACAACGGGAGAGACGAGAAACTGCGACCCGTTGGCAGAAGGAAGAATAGAGAGAAATATGTGGAAATAAATAAAATGTTACCTCTCATTTATCATATGAAGAATTCATTTTCAAACATTGATTAAAGCCAATCTTAAAATGATTAAACAAACGCCTGTTTGAGACTCCTCAGTGCACACAAAAACATAACTTGGAGAAATAAATAAATACGGATATGTTATTTAAAACCACCTCGAATATGTTGTGTTAATGTTATGAAAAGTTTTCTCATAAATGATGCGGTAAGCAGGAGGACAGAATTACGTCTAAACTGACGCCGTTTTGCATTTCTATAGGTTGTAGATACGAGCATGGTTTTATATACTATCACGTTTAATCGTGTTTTATGCCGTTTGCCAAGACTTGATAAGTCGCTCGTAAAACACGGGAGGTATGGAAACTAAGAACACCATATGTGGTAAATTGTACAGCTAATATAACACAATCCATTAGTTGTATTTCCTTTAACTGGTGGATTATGGATATGTTGCTGATCGACAGCTGGAACACAAACCACCAAATACAACAAAATAATTCAGATCCAGTCGTCATGACTCCACTCCGGAGGGATTCCCCGATCATTTCTTACAGTTTCTCATCAAGGGGGTGTCTCCTGTCCCCGGGACAAACACACTGCCTGAGGAAGGTTATGTGTATTTTTTTTGTCATTAACTTTTTTCGGACCACTTATATATTTATTTTGGTGACGATCCGACCTCCATGCTGCTACATGGTTCAAACTGCATCCACCAAACAATATGATTTACCTTGACCTCCCCAAAATAACCAAAATCTGACACGGTGTGAGATGTCTTTTTTAGCTGTTCGGTCGTAATTTCCTGCGATCTTCTTCATGCAGTCAGTCAAAATGAATGAATGAATGGGCGTTTCTTTGACTATTTATAGGCAAATATGGGCGTTACGTGAAGCCTGCAAAAGCTGCGCCGCATTTCGAGTCGATTGTGATTTATATAGGGAAACAGGCGTAGGAAGTGCCGTACGCACTTCCCTCGCCGGTACGCAATGTTTTGTGAATCGGAAAATGTCGCAACATTTCTGTACCTATTTTTTTGCTTTGTACTACGTAAGCAACCTTCCTACGTCAATCCTACGCAAGGCGTTATAAACGAGGCCCCTGGAGATGTCGTATCTCTTTTTTTAACCTATACAGAAACAGACTTTAATGTTTTCATTTTGTTCTCACAAAAAGTATGTCCAATTTTCGTTGTCAAACATTTCATACTTTAAACTCATAGCCCACTATGAAAATACTTAATATTTGTAGTTGCCAAACACTAACACATTTTATAACACTGTTATATCTGATATGGCTCAACATTGTCGAACAGGTGTACAGCATGAATCTGGTAACCCAAATATGATTGTGATAATGTTTTGAACATACGACACTGTGACTAAATGTAACATATAATAAACAAAAAAATAAAACTCAACTTATGCATTATGTTTATGTCTCCCTGTCTTGTCATTTAGAATTCAGAAAAATACATACAGAGCAAGGAGGAATTCCACAGTGCTGCCTCCAAGACGGAAGCAAACGTGAGGTAAGAGTCACACACACACACACACACACACACACACACACACACACACACCACACACACACACACACACACACACACACACACACCATGTATACATCACTTCAGGGGACATTACATTGACTTACATGCATTTCCTGGAGACTTATCCTAACCTTAACCATAACCAACACATGCCTAACCCTTAACCTTACCCTAACCCTAACCCTAACCCTATACCTAACCAAGTCTTCACCCTAAAATTAATGATTCCCCTCATGGGGACCTCCATTTTGTCCCCATAAGGGAGGTGAGTCCCCACACGTGACTGTGTAAACAGATGTAGGTCCCCACAAGTATAGTAATGCTAGGCCACACACACACACACACACACACACACACACACACACACACACACACACACACACACACACACACACACTCTCAAACTAATTTGCTGAACAAAAGTAAGATGATAGTACTCCCTGGAGCCTCACCACACATACCAGTTCTCACACGTAAATGAGCATGCACACAGCAGAATAATAAGTAGCAATAGATAGTAATCTGCTGGTTTTTTCAATTTTTTTAACAAGTCAAATTCAAACATTCTCTAGAGCACACCTGACTAATGCGATAAATGTTTTAATTGGCTGCTTTAATCAAGCCGAATTGAACAATACCCTGTATCCCCGTCCTTGCTTCTCGCTGTGGACTTCTAATGAGCCACAGCCGGGCAAGCAAGCTAATTATTGCAACTGCAGTCTGTAAAAACACCCGGGTCTTGACCTGCTGTTAGATTTTGTGTCACACCAGGAACTGGGCTTGCCAATAACAAGTGTCCTGCAAGTACTTATAGATGACGGGGAAATAATATTTGTTACATTGAGTTTTATTAACTGACTTGTGGCCAGGGTGTTTATCTGTGTTTTAATTATTTTCTTCTTATTGTTTTTTTTGCATTCATCCTAATGAAAACTAGACATCCATGCAGACATCTGACATCTGTTTCCATTAGTTAAAAATTAGCTTTGAATCTTGATCTCATTCACTTCCCTAAATGTATATGTGAGTGTTTGAACTCAGATCAGCTGGTAAATCAGGTGCCCTAATAGTCTTGTATGTTGCCAGTGTTTAGGCATACACTTTTCCAATTGGTAACCCGTTTACCATAACGTGAAAAAAACCACATGATACTTGAACTCCATTTTTCATCACTTAATACAATGGTTCAGACAGACTGCTGTAACTGTTGGCCTGTTTAGAACCCATCTCATCGCCTGACAGTTTGAGTTTCTTGGCTCATCTGACTTTTCTAGCAGTGCCACCATGTTCCCAGATCTCAGCAATGACTTTGGAGTGTAAAATGCTTTTATAGTCAACTGAAGATGGCCAAAGATACAAAAAAGAACACAATTTGGGAATAACCAATTCCTCACCCAGTGAGAGTACATGCTACCAGTAGCTGACAGCGACTTGCAGATGCACTGGAAGTAAAATACGAGGAACATTTCAATAATACAGCATCAGGGGTACAATTCTGAATAACCATCCTGCCAAATGGAAGTGTACCTGCTACACCTTCACACTTAAGCCCTTAACCTCAGTTTTAACAATAACAAGAATGGGTTTTAGGTTAATTTGAACGCTGTCATCTGCAATTTAGGAATACCAGACCCCCATTACAGAAAGATTTAAAGCATTACCAACATTCTGTGCTGATACTTAAGACAAGGTGATCTTACCTCTGGGGGATCCGTACAGTAATACCAATAATCCTCTGCTCGTTGGGAGGTGGTGTGTGTGGAGTTGAAAGAAGGTTATTCTTAATCCACAAGCGTTTTATCATAGAAGATAAAACGATGCGAGCTTCCTCTATCATACGTTTATGGACAATTATATACAGGCTTTAGAGAGTGGATTAGGCTCTCATTTATTCTGTAATCTAGTCTAACTCTAACCTCCGGGGAATTCGGTAGTATTTCTTTAATGGGTGGTTAAGATGTGAGGATAACAGTGTGTCTGTGTTTGGGCTTCAAATACGGTGCTTTTCTACAGATTACCCCACCACTGCACTGGTAAGGTAAAACTAGGCCGATTAATAAGATGTGAAGTGCTTTGTAACTTTGACCCGCTTGACTGAATACACAAAAAACAATGAAGAAAGTTGAACCAATGTTAACACCGATGTTAACCAATGTTAACACAAACTAACTGTATCACTATAACATGATGATGATGGTGATAAAGAATGCATCTAACGTTCCGCTGTTCATTAAAAAAACAGCGCATTAAACAAACCATCATGCTCTTACTTTGAAAACCATGCGGAAATGTCGTCATCAGCAGGCCATCACGTGGTAACCGAGTGACACGAGTAGATTTTAGCCGAGACCGGCGGAAAGGTTGTCTCAAAACTCTGTGTGTGTAAAAAGACGATCCACAAGCAGAAATGTGAGATGCACAAGCGCATTTTTGGTCGACAAATACAAAATGGATTCACAAATGCCTGATCGAAAGTTGTAAATGTTAAAGGGATATTCAAAGATCTTTTTTGTATTTGTAAAAATATTTTGCGTATTTGCAGATCCGCAAATTTATTTGTGAGTTTGCAAATCTTTTAAATGCATTTGTGGATGGTGTTTTACATTTACAAATCACATATTTACACACAAATTATTTTTATGTTCACACAAATTATTATGAGACATCTAAGCCCATAAACAGACATATCTAAGCCCAGACAGCTGGCCTTGTTAAAATTCCTTGGATACTGACCTGAGCGTTTTGACGCGGGTTATCTGCCTCGTCTGTCTCTGTCTCCGTCTCGTTGTCATTCTAATACGTTCAACTGAAGAGGATAGTGTCTTGATTACTTTCACACACTAAATCCATCTAGGCTTAAAAAGAAAATTGTTTCAAGTCTAATTTGTATTACACTCTATCTGTTATTCTACAGGTAGGTCAAGCTTGTCAATGCTAAATACCTCTGTTAAGTTGTAAGTAATGCAGAGTAGTCTTAATGCTTGCTGCCACAGTTGTCATTCACTCCTAAATTCATCCAACCTCATGCAAAACTTTAGTTTAGAAGTTGCATGGGAACATCTAAATGTGTATTGAGAAATAGAACATTATTTAGGCTCATGCTCCGTTGAGTTTGACATTCCAGAGTGCTACAGGACAGTGGCCTTGTGCTCTCGGGTCCGCTCAAACCCCAGAGAGCTGGCAGCTAAAGCTCCTTTTTTGCTCCAAGGATTTAACTGTGGATTAACGCATCACAAACATACAGGCACGTATACACACTTACTCAAACAGAACACAGAATGACACAGACAGTGGCCAATGGAACAGGGTTTGGAGTCATGCACATTGTGAAACTTCACTCAAACAGTTTTGAAGCCAGAGTCTGTAAGAAGTTTGCTGACTCTGGTTGATAATGTGAGATAATGGCACTTTGTTTTTGTTACTTATACACAAATGGTTCAAAGTGTCTTATCAGTGTCTAGCCTTTATGCACCCACAATTGTTGTTATTTAAGAGGATTCTCTTAAATCTGAGTACAATGGGACCAATAAGTCAATAAATATACATATATGGGAAACAGTTCTTCACTGCTAAAGGATGATGCTCATGAAGTTAATGTCTATTGTAAATGTAAACGGTTGTAATGTTAAAAGTCAAAAGTAGTGAAAGTGGATTCTGCATTGAAATATTAAACACTGACAAGCCAAGAAAGTCCTGGATCAAGTTTAGTTAGAGCATTGATCCCCTATTGTTTGTAATCTCACTATATATCGACGCCAATCATCACCCTCCAATCAAATTGTGCAATTGTTTGCCTGACTGACCATCGTATTTGGGCTCCTTGGAGATACAAAATGCACTGTATTCTAAAAAAATGTTATCCGATTCACAGGCATTGAACCATTTACTATGGCTCAGTTCTTTTGAAGTGGACATGTTGTAGCCAATATAGTATACAGGTGAAATACAATATTTATTTCAGCCCAAACACAGACACACTGTTATCCTCACATCTTAACCACCCATTAAAGAAATACTACCGAATTCCCCGGAGGTTAGAGTAGATTACAGAATAAATGAGAGCCTAATCCACTCTCTGATAAAGAATGCATCTAACGTTCCGCTGTTCATTAAAAAAACAGCGCATTAAACAAACCATCATGCTCTTACTTTGAAAACCATGCGGAAATGTCGTCATCAGCAGGCCATCACGTGGTTTCCGAAAATAACCGAGTGACACGAGTAGATTTTAGCCGAGACCGGCAGAAAGTTTGTCTCAAAACTCTGTGTGTGTAAAAAGACGATCCACGAGCAGAGATTTGAGATCCACACATTTTTGGTCGACAAATACAAAATGGATTCACAAATGCCTGATCGAAAGTTGTAAATGTTAAAGAGATATTCAAAGATCTTCTTTTTTTTTTGTAAAAATATTTTGCGTATTTGCAGATCCGTTTTACATTTGCAAATTTATTTGTGAGTTTGCAAATCTTTTAAATGCATTTGTGGATGGTGTTTTACATTTACAAATCACACATTATTTGTATGTTCATACAAATAATTATGAGACATATCTAAGCCCATATATGTAACAGTAGTAGACGAACTAGACTTATTAGCCCGCCTTTGTCAGACCCTTCAGCTTTTCATTTCATTTCATTTCAAACCTTTATTTAACCAGATTGGTCCCTTGAGATCATAGATCTCTTTTTCAAGGGAGACCTGCATTTTGTCAGATGATACCAGCCTATGGAGATCACTCGGCGATAAGGCTGGAAACATCGACAAGCCAAGTCCATAGTCCAAGTTAAAAAGGCAGACTACTACGCCAGTGTGTTTGTGCTTTAAGAGGAATAAAAAAAACTGGAAAGTAGCTCACTTAAATCAGATTTCGATATATCTTAAACGTGTACGTTTCATGCCACTGAATTTCCGACAGAATAGTTATAAAGCAGCCTGAATAGGAAGGACAGGGAATAAAAAGTTAAAGCAGTTATGCC